TTGCAAAGTACGGAGTTGATCCCTTTGTCCCAATAGAGGATATAGAGACCTTTAATTTGCATTATTTTACGTTGCAGTTCTAAATGTGCCTTGTTGCGAACAGGGCATCACTGTTTTTGCCCTATTTAAACGTTGCAGACTCTCTTCTCCTCCTTATTTTTCCTACCTCTGTCTCTTTTTCTCACAAATTCCCCTCCTTACTCTCACTTTCTTCACCCTCCTCTTCAGTTCATCCTTCATTCTTTCCTATCTTTTCATAACTATATTTCGTCCCATTCCTCTAGCTCGCTTTATCCTTATAAATTCCTCTCTCCCTTGCACTCGTCTTTCTTTTAAGTATATTCCCTCCTTTCATACACTCCCAATCCCCCTCTCTCTCCACTCATTCTTCTCCAATCTCCTCTGATTCCTTTCTTCCCTCACGCTCCTCCCTCCGTCTCTTGTCTCATTCTCTTTTTCTCCCCTCATTCATGCACACTCTCTCTCCTCTTTTTCATCTCAACAGACTCCCTACCCCACTCCGCCCCTCTCCCTCTACTTACCCTTCCTCCCCTCCATCACTCCCTCTCCCCTCATTTACTACCTCCCTCCCTCAATATCACTTCACTCCTTTCTTTTCGCTTGCTCTCTATCTCTCTCTCCTTAATCACTTCACCATCTCTCTCCCACCCCCTCTCTCTTTGTTCACTCCCTCATCTAACTCACCATCTCCTATTCCCTTTGCCCACTATCTCCTCTTCGCTCACTCCCCTGTTTTACGTCTCCGATGAAATTATATAAAAAAATAAATCTTAAAAGTTGAAGTGTATTAGGGCTGCGGATAACTATTGTCGCCAAAAAATTACAAAAAGACTTAAAAGCTCTATATCGAATGACAACCAATGATTCTAAATAATCATTTTGAACGTTCTTGTTCAATTGAATTGCTAAGAAAATTTATCTTTTTCTCTGAAATGGATTTAGCGTTAAAACCTGCAAGGTATACATAGCGTTCTTGCCAAGAACAAAGCCACAGTCACTGTATTTCCAACAGCAGATTACGTCACAACTTCAACTGATACAAGTACGTGTATATCCGCTTCATATAATCATTAAAAATTGAGCATGTTTTCGTACACTCCTCAATTTTTATTATAATCGATAATTGAAAATAAAAAATATTCAAAGCATGATCTTATCACACCTTCATGTACTTGTTCACACTCGAATGTGTTTGTGTTTGTGGTTCAGAACAACTTTCAGGAACAAGGAAGAAAGCTTGCATTTGAGATAAAGGCCTATAAATCGAATATTATCAAAAGAATTTACAAAACAACAATCACCAACAAAGATTTATTAGTGTAAATGTAAACGTAACATTTAATTAACAAACTTTATTCAAATTGTATCTATCTAATGAACCGTACTAATCCACTGCACTTAATTTCGATCACTACTAGAAAATGTGAGATATATTGTATGTATTGTACTTCCTGATAAACTTTATTTTAACAAATAAAATATAAAACATGTCTATCTTGATGCGAAATTGAATATCCATCTTTTTAGGTGTCCCTGAAAAGAGCAAACTTGGTGGGTTCCCTATTCAGTTTGAACAGGGAATCTACCAAATTTTGTTCCTGGTTTTTATTGGTCCAAGATGAGGTTAAGAATTTAAAATCTTACTTTCAGGAACAGCAGGGTATATTATGTGTATATTACTCACTCTATGTGAAAGCATCCCTGTACAGCCATGTAGTGTAGAAGTTGGTAGGATGGGTCCACAATAAGAGATTATCTTTTTTTTTCACCGTACTTAGAAAATACATTTTAAACCTGCTGCAGAGAAAAGAGAAAACAAGATGTGCTTGTGAAATACTGATGCTCCCGTAGGGCAACTTAATTTCTCAAATGCAAATCAAATAATTATGTTGGTACCCAATGTAAGGTCTTGTCTCGAGGAATATACCTGTGAAATGTGAAAGCCCCAGCAGCAACAATTGAATAGTATAAAAACCCTAGCACCAACTATTCAAAAGTAATGGCCAAGTTTTTCAAAAGTAGGTCAAACTCCAAGGTCAAAGTCAATGGGCTATATAATTGTTGGTATCCAAAGAAAGGTCTTGTCACAAAGAGTACACATGTATGTGAAGTATGAAAGCCCTAGCACTAATTGTTTAAAAGTTATGGCCAAGGTAAAAGTTGGGAAAATTTTGCAAAACTGGGTCAAACTCCAAGGTCAAATATGATGGTACACAAAGAGAGGTCTTTTCACAAGGAATACACCTTTGAAATCTGAAAGCCATACCTCCAACCAATCAAAAGTTATAGGCAATGATAAAGTTTTTGCAGACAAACAGACATACAGACGGACGGACAAGACAAAAACTATATGCCTCCGAATCTTCGATTACGGGGGCATAAAAATGGGTGTACTACGAATGGAGATCTTTAGAGGTTTCTCCATGGTCACTACATGTATCAGTTTGGATGAGGTTATATTGGTTCGAACTTTTTCATGGAAATTCTTTAAATGCAATGTATATTGTTTGCATAAAATGCAGCAAGAATAATTATTTATTAATATGACTGCAAGTCAACATAATGAAATCCATTCAGTCATTATTATGACTTTTAATTTAGGAATAGGTAGAAGACGTACCATTACATATCCATTGTCATGAGAGGGAGGAGGGGTGGCTTACTGGTCAATTGTTCCTGTATATACATTTACGATGAATGTACTTTTATCTTTCAAATGATCTTTTATATTATCTTCTTCCCTTTTTCCATAGATTTTATTCTCAGATATCAAAAAATTTATGCAATCACTTAATCCATTTGCTAATTTTCATGACACAGGATAGATGAATGTTCAGACATGATTAGATTTAGTTGTAATATATACAGGCGAGTTTTGTAAAACGTCTTTGTCCTCAATCGATTTCCCCCTTCAAGAGTATTGTCCTTTTAACAAAACGAGCAATCCTTAGAAATACCTTCCCTTTCAATTCTGCAGCGATCAAATGTTTCGTAAAGTTTTTAATAAAAAAAAAATTATGGTATCAAAAAAATTCATCATAGCTTGTTTATTTTGAATAATTCAGGCTAGGGTACATTAGAAATAACTTTAGATATTTAAGTATTGAATAATTATTTATTCAGACAGTACATGGTAAAATGTACATATAAAGGCACTGTCAATTCCATTTTTTTCTTGAATACGTGTACATTGCAATACGAATGATTGTAATTTATTATCATACAGGAAAAAGAAGAACTTAAGAATGTGATAAAAAAAAAATATAGGCTCAATTTCTAAAAATTGTCGTTTACGGTATTTTGTTGATTAACAAAACATTCTGTTCAATAAATTTTTCATGTTAAAAATTGTGAATTTTTTAGGTCATTTGTAAATTTTACATTTACCTCCACCAAGTATATTCAAAATTTACATCAGGATACCTTTTCCATGGTCAAACGATAAATGGAAAAAAAAAATCATGCCATAGATAATGGTTATCATGACACAAAACACAGTTAGTCATATTTTTAAAATTCACCATAATACAAAAGAAATTTATTTTTGATTGTCAGTAGATCATGAACATAGGCAAAGCATAAATAATTTAATTTTTAAAGGAGAAATATTGATGATTTATCACAAATCGATTTCTAAAAACCCGATAACTAATATTTACTGCTCTGTAAATTTGAATTTTTGTTATGTCCACTGGGTTGGCGAATGATTACTAAGATATAAAACGCACTCCTTTCATGTTTAACTATAAATTTTTATATCTCTAAGAAGAAAGACTCGTTCCATTGTAAAACGTTACACGGATTACAAAAGTACATGTATCAAGACTTGCCAGCGGAGTGCGTGTTTCTCAATAGCTCATTATTCATATGACACTTTAAAAAGAAATATTTTGACCGGTTCAAAATAAAGTTCATTTTATTTTTGTGATAAAAAAAATATCATTATCTATTTTCCTTCAAGATTTATGGTTTATCAATTTTTCAATCTGAAATAGAAAATGATTACATGTCAATTATAATTGTCCTGTAATCAAATTCAACTTCAGATTGAAAATTGATAAATGGCATTGAAGTTCTATATATGTCTATAAAAGTATAAAGTAGATGTCTGAGTACTTAACCCTTTATTAAAAATTATGAAATTGATGCGTCTTGGGTCCTAGGTTGAAGCTAATATCAGGTTAAATTCTTTCATATTTTATCTTAATTCTTAATAGTCCTTGTGCATAATACTGCATATAATTGGCTCTCTGTTTTACTGTTATTGTTTGTAATTAAAAAAGATATAAGCATGCAATTATGTTTTTACATTTGTTAAGTGATAAAATGAAAATATGGCACAATGTAAATGCGAGATCAATCCTAATTTATTTCTTTACGAAATCGTCGGTGATTACATAATAAATTATGTTGAATCATTCATTTCCAAGGAGAACGTTATTTTTACTAGATCGCCATTAGGAGCTATCTCCATTTACAAACAATGAGGTAATCGGAGAAATATGATTGTCAAGCGATTTTAAGGGATTTAAACTCTCCAACACCTAGTTCGTATCTACGGCGGAGGCAGGCAACAACGTGAGTGCTTGGAATTGGAAAATTAATAATAATGCAGTTTTTTAAATCGATACATGATTTAAACCCGTCGCCTGAAAGAAGTCCGAAGGCTGGCTTTATCCTAAGATTAACTCATTGTTAGTTTCACCCAGGTTAATATATTTTATATATGTGCATTAATATTAGCAGATTATAGATCAATACACGTTGTGACATATACGGACATATTTGTTTCAATGTTCGCATGGATTTAGATGCGTAAGCCGTCTTTAGCTGTTTATGGAATTAAGAAAAAAAACTTTATATAGATGTCATCTAATTAATGTGGTGAAAAACATTAAACAGAAGTTCAAAAAATGGCTTGACTCATTAAAAAGTGCAAAGGAGTAGTTCTTCATAATTTATTTTTATTTAAGTTCGTGATTTTTCGTTACTTTCGTTCCTTTTATTTGTGGATTTGTAAATAAGAAGCTGTTCGGAGGTGAAAGAAGAAAATGATATCAAGTTTTTCTTGGACATCTCTTTCAATTGTTCTCGTCTTCATAACATTATCAGGTACGTTCAACAGTTCAATAATAAAAAAAAAATACAATTTTCATCGACCTTATGTGATGCTTTATCCAAACATACATTAAATGCCAGAAAAGAGGCCCATAATCCTTTTTTCCTGATATATCTTTTATGCATGAACTCAGTGATGAATCAGCATGTAAAGAAACATTCAGTATACATGTATGTGTAGCGCAGTGAGGACTGGGAACATTTATACACAAGCATTTGGAATTACAAAACACCAAGAAAAAAATATGTAAAAAGATCATACAAAAAGTATAAGAAACGCAGTTTTTTAAATAATATAAGTATTCTCTCTCTTTCTCTCTCTCTCTCTCTCTCTCTCTCTCTCTCATGAGACACATATATCTAAATTTCTTAAAATAAAATCTTAACACTGTTTACGTGTGTAGTGATCTTAATCTTTGAGATCACTATTAATCTTTAATCTAAACAAATATGAATTATATGTTCTTCACAAAACAACATGAATAACAAAAAGTTTGAATACTATATAACCTAATATTATAACAGGGCTTAAGCGAACAATGATTAATTCTTTTTCACAAAATCTTCTATTCACCATTACTTTCCTTTTTAAATACGAAAACTTGTGGTTGGAAAAAAAGTCCGATATGAAAAACATGAAAAGACAAGAGCGAAATGACATGGCATGAAAAGTATTGTCGAAGGGCCTATTATCTTATTTAAATATACCAGTGTAAATCAATTAAATGAAAGCCAAATTGTCACTAGTTATGTGAGCGGAAAAAAAAGACGAACGACAAAAGAAAATCCATGATCGTTTTCGTCGCATGAAATATGGAGTAGGAGAAAACGATTATTTTTTGTATTGTGCCTTTTATGTATTTTTATTTAATGACAGACCCCAAAGTCCAGCAGAATTATTAATCTATACTGTAGATCTAGACTTAAACTTTATTCCCCTTCTTGCAAGGATCAAACTATAAATTAATAATCTCTAATGGAATACCAAGGCAAAAAGATGACACGGGTCTTGGAATTTTAAACTAAAAGCAGAAATCGATTTAGGATACCGATTGAGAATAAAAACAATATCATTCTGATCTCCGTCCACTCAAAGTCAATCTGAGTAATGCACAAGTTTATTTAATCATTGATTCAATTTTAATGAACAAACATAATGAACCAAACTGACAAAATAGCGATTGTTCAATTTGTAAAGAGCTAACTTAACATTGATGAAATTCTCGTGTTTTCAAGCAACTATAGAAAATCTACATCCTATTAGCAGCAAATATAAAAACGATCAGCCCATGGTACCTTGGATATTTAATTCCAACCTGTACAAAAAAAAAGCGTAAATTGATTTTTCTCTCAGCGTTATCTTTTATTGAAAATTTCTCTTGATTTTTCAATTGGAAGAGACACGCTTCATTATAGATTGACAAGACGCGAATGTGCTCTGTTTTAAGGCGCGTCTGCGCATTGAGGGTTATGCTGAAGTTAAGATATTTACTAAGAAACTGGTATACTGACAATGTCTACTAAAAATTTAATACATTTGAGTAATAAATACGAGTTTGTAAATATTCAGTATGCTTAAGCTTGTTTTTACTGATTTTAAGATGCGCTGTTGCTATAAATTTTTATTAACAAGCTCGTGTCTTCGAGAAGTATAAGAGATTAGACGTGACATTATTTATGTGCAATTCAGGCAAACTCTCAAAAGCTTCTCAAACTCATTCTGTTGAAACTTGATACTTTTTATGCTTATGTTTGATTCAAACACAATTGATGCGTCGTAAAATATATAAATTGCACATTTCTCTTTTCATTTGGGTGTATTCATACTTAACAAAGTTGACAAAGAACTCCGGGCTTGCATATTTAAGAAGCCTGCAATCTATTAAAGCCTTACATTGTGCAATTTCTAAATCCATTTGTCATTCTATAATCATAATGCACCTTACACTGGATTTTGAAAGCAGACTTTTATTAAACAATGTGATTAAATGGGCAAGGCAAACACAAACACACACGGCTCATATACGATATAAAAGATAAAATCCGATACGAAGCCGCCATTGTTATGAAATTAAGAAATAATAATAAAATGAAATTTACACCTGTTCTACTGTGGTTACATCTTGATTCTTGGTGCATTAGCGGTAAAATAAATTTCTTTCAAAAAAGAAGAAAATTTGAATCAATATGTTTAAAGACTAACCTCATCTTGCATTTTGCAGCTTGAAGCTGATTTTAAGATTGCATGGTTTCTGATTTCGTTTAACTAAGATTCTTTGAAGTTTATATGATATTTGATATGTTCATTAGTTAATGTTACCTATATGATTATTTTACGCATGTTCTGCAAAAAAATGTTGTCCATCAGAAGAAAGTCATCATAGAGTGTTAAAAATCACTGACTCTGATGCCAGAGTTGTTTATTTTTGAAGAACTCTTGATCTACCCAATAGCATGTAAATATTTTATGTTTATAATATCCTCTCAACACTGTTGTTACAGTTTAGGAGAATAAACTATTGTCATTGTCATGCCTATTGGACCTCTGAGTTTAATGACCAAAATACTTTTGTCAAAAGTGGCCATTTTCTGTATAGCAAATACTAGTATGTTATTATACATGTATGCATATTCAAATTTCAAAAGCAAGGACATCATGCATTCTACTCTTTATATTGCGTGAATGGCTTGGTAAAGAATGTAGTAATTTATTTTTGAGCATATGAACATTTTGAATAGTATTTGTCATACGTGGTTATACTGTTTGATAAGGTCAGTGATTTTCGTTATAATCAGAATTTCCTTTTATTCTAAAACCATTTTTAACAAAGATTTATGAGAGATTTATCCAAGAGAGTTCAAATTCTTCTCTATAACCGAGATATATTGATATCCGAGTTCATAATAACCGAGTTTCACTGTACATCTAGTCACATCTATACTTATAAATTAATAAATTTTGCAAATAAACTCCGAAACGGATGCACCAGAGTTCTTACTTACTCCTCTAACAATACACTATATACAAGATGATGTCCGTAAACTATATTTAGATTTCACTCGCATAGTAAGTGTCGCACATTAAATAAAAAGTCTATTTTTATTTTCTATAAACAGCCATGAAATAGCAAAAACGTGAGTACGGTGGCGTTTCCGGTTGGCGGATCTAAGTTACTGGCAGATTTTAATGAAACTGACAACAAGCAATCGTTTATTTATTTCATAAAACGTCATCACTTTATTATTCAATCAAAACTTGATTTAAATGATATAAAAGAAATAAGTTGTGATAACCGATTAAAAAGGGAAATGTGCAAATTATTTTCGTCATTCGCCAATCTTAATATTGACGGAAGCTTCTAGAACATCATATAGCATCGAGCCCGATGTTAAAAAGAAAAACGAAGCGATTGTACATGTACATGTAGCTGCATGAACATAAAAAAAAGCTTTTGTGTGAATGGTCATTGAAGTAATGGTAAATCATTGATAACACTATAAGTTGTGAATATATTTATATATCGAAAGATTATTACATATATGTAGTAGGTTTTTCTAATAAATTTATCGGTAAAATTTGTAAATTTATCGGTAAAATTTGTATTTTCCTTACTGAGAGCATCGTGGCAACGAACCCGAAGTGCAATTTGTACTTCGTAATAAACTTGCTTACATGAAAAGAGAAAATTAATGAATAAGGTATTGTTCAAATATAATTAAAGCTGTAAAATTTTGTGCTTTAATCAATACATTTCAGTTTTTTTTTTCTGAATGCAGTCTTTTGTATCAAATACTCGGCCTATTCATAGGGCGTTAAACAGCTAATTTTTACACAGGTACTTGGGTCTTGGTATATAAATATGTATGTACCGGGTACCTTATTGATATGTAAAAAAGGTAAAGTACATTTTTTACATATCAATAAGGTACATACATATTTATAAACCAAGACCCAAGTACCTATGAACACCCCCCCCCCCGAAAAAAAATCAATTTATCAGTAAAATGTGCATATTCACTCCTTTTATCCTTGGCGGAAATGAAATAAGAGCATCTGAAGTACAATATCCATAACATTGTACAACAGGTTTCACAATAAATGTCAATTAAATGATATTGTTATTTTTCAAGACTTTACAAAAAGGGGGTGGGGTGGGGGTGGAGGCGTACATTTAATTCCTGTGAGATTTTGAACAAAGTATTCCTTCTATAAGCCCGTAGGCTGTCAGTAGAAACTACAATATATTTTCTGTCGGTAGTGGTGTAAATTCAATTCCCCGCGCTTGCGCGGGATTTCATCTAGTAAATTTTAAATTGAATTTGCCACCACAACGTTAATTTTTTTTAGGTGAATATGAACGAATTTGTTAAAGAAAATAAAATAAAAGAAAGACTATTATTGCTATTGTGACCATAGATTTCATGATTGTGCATGCAATATACATAATGTTTCTCTAAAAATACCATAACTAGCTCTCAGATGTAGTTCACTTAAATTGACCCATTAAACTTTGAAGGTGGTCAGGTGAAAGGATTTAATTACGCTATATAATATGCAATAAAGTTTAAATGGTACGACCCCGGCGATTTTAAAGTTTCACATCAAATTTAAAAGAAAATAATGTGACACTTCTGCATTTTTTACTGAACAATGTAAATTGAAATAGCTTTATTCTAAAAGTAGAACAATTGACATTTTGGGTACATCGTGTACCTGATCTGATTGAATTTCAAATTGCAATAGAAATGTGTGTTAAGAGCTTTTACATAAGTTATGTGTTGTTGTTGAGTGTCAAATTTCAAAGTTAGTTTGGAAGTCGCGGTTCTAGTGATATATTTATTAATTAAAGGATATAGGAACCGAGGGAGGGGGCATGAGGGGCTGTGCCCCCTCCCAAAATAATTTTGCCGATATGTAATATACTATAGAAAATTTAGCTAATTTATGCTCGTGCCCCTCAATAATAACGTATGATGCTCTTTTTTTTTTTTTTTAGTTTTTCTTGTAAGGAATTTTGCTTGATAGTGCCCTCTAAACTGAAAATATTTGCCCCCCCCTCCCCCAACTGAAATCGCTTCCTACGGGCCTGTTATTCATTTTTTCTTTTATATGTTTATGATCACAGAAAAGATGTACTGGTAAATTAAGGTCTTTGCACTTTGATCAATTTTAACATTTGCTGAAATAAACAGTGTTTCTTCCCTTTAGTACATGTATTCTTAGCAAAATATTCCAGTGGATTATCTCAATTTAAAATGCAAAATTCAGTAAAATGTTTTCACATTATTTTTTTCATGAAAAAAAAATCCTATGAAAAGTAAATATCCCGCTGTTCAAATTTGAAAAAAAAATTGTGACAAGTACTTTAGCTCTGTAAATGCAGCATGCATCATATATCAAGCAAAATTAAAATCATGATGCCTCTCTGCCACTGATGAAATATAAATAATAGATACAAGACAAAAGAGATTTTTTTTATAGAAAAATCTCTCTTTAGATTATTTAAGCGTGTTTATAGCATTTGATTTCTTTTTCTGTTTTTCAGAAAGCGCCTGCACCTTTCCTTCAGAGATTACGGGCGACTGGTACAGCGCTTATAAGGGCAAACTGTCTTTCAACTCTACTCATTTATCAGGATATCCCATTTATATGTCAGCCTCCGTGCAGTCATTAGATTTTGAGTGTTACATAAACAGTGACAGAACATATCTTTTAAGGTATTTTGGATGTGAAGTTCCCTTTTTCATTCGAGAAAGACCTTTAAAACATGTTTTTGCTATGCATTTGAAAATGAAAGATTGATAAAAGAAACAAATTCAATGGCTCTGACGGTGGTGAAATTCCTCAATGTCAAGTGCACCATGATTACATAATGTTTCAGCGAGCTAATAATTTTATTGTATGATAAGGTTTGCAGAGTGCCTTGGTTTTGATTAGTACATAATAATCATTTTGTGAAATTTTGTGGGGAAGGCAAAAATTATGTTTTTTAATCCTACAGCCAAATAACGACCATGAAATGATGCATATCCTTCCCCATCATTTCAACAAAATCCATGATTAATAATATAAAATATCTTTCATTTATGTGCTCGACTATAATTTATTCTGATTGATTTGCTTGAAAAGATTTTTTTTAAAAATCATCACTTTTTTTCGTTTGCAAATAAATATGAATAACTGCAGATAAAAATCTTCAATTTAATTTTAAAAATCTTAATTTCAGAGCAACTGAAACAGCCCTTGTGTTTGGTCAATACATTCGTGGTTATTTATGTATACAGCTATGGAGAGTCTCCAGTACGAAGTATTACTATTACCATGGAACAAGTAAGTAAATCAACTTCAAAATCAAATACAGAAAATGAGAATGCATGATTATATTGACAGTAGTGAAAACTTGTAAAATAAATTAAATACATTGGTATCAGATAATCGGGATATTAACTCCTAGAACTTGATTTTTTATTATGATTATGAATTTTGAAATATAGCTTTGATCCACGTAAGACCAGAAAAACCCTTTTTTCCTTTCATCATTATAATAAAAATTAAACACTTCCATATTTTCAAAAGCCATCAGTTTGACCAATAATGACAATATATTTGGCCGTGTCGATGCCGTGACGGTAGACCTTACAAGCGCTTGTAATGAAGTTGAGCCCTACAGTACTGGAAAATTTATTACATTAGTCAAGGACGGTATGGAACTCCCTGCCTTACACCCGAAACTAACGTTATCTCACAATTACACCGTCTGATTAAAAAAGTACCGTTTCTTAACTGCAGATTTGTTTATGACACTGTAAAATAATTATCACGGATTAAAAAGGATATTGAAATGTTTTTTTTACTAATGTTAATACACTTAGTATGATCTTGTATGTGCCAAATGAGGTTTGCACCAGTGATTTCAATTTCACTCATACATACATTAATTGATCCAAAAAAAAAAACACCGAGTAATGCTATGTTGTACAAGAAAATTTGGAGTTTTTGAACTCAAGCTTCTTTGGCATCTCAAGACTTGATTTTCCAGAACTTCAGATCGAAAAGTACTGATAGATTATTTTCAGGCATCAAAACACTTTTTGATAGGTCTAACGCTTTTTATTATCCTTTAGCGATATCTCCTACCAACAAAGACCACATTAAAGGAGTAATTGATATTCTTAAAAATGGGACGTTAGAGGAGACTTGTGATATAGCAGAACCCTACAACACGTCGTCTTTTGTAATGCTAGTCAAAGATGGTAAAATCGGCAACTATACATAGTTTTCCTTTTGCGTATCATTTTGTGTTGTGAAAAAATGTTTCTATTTATAAAATATCTATTGTTGTGCAGTTGTATTCTGCTCGTATCTGGCAATTTTAGTCTCTTTTTTCCTGCCTTTAGCTCAATTTGACCTTTTTGAATCTCCAAGCACTTTTTTGGTATAGTTGAAATGTTGCCTCGCACGTGGGCATTTGTGCACTTCATTCACTGCGTTTATCATATCATTTTCATGTATGATAATTGAATACTTTTATGGTTAAGCCTGCACATTGTGGATTTTTGCATCGTTTTTCTTTTGTTTTGTTCACTGCTCTTGATTTTGTTTTTATGTGCTAGATATTTGTCAGCATTCACTTTGAGCGAAACGCACATGCACAATTAATCAAATACAGATTTAAAGGTGAGGTCATATTATTTGTACATTCCATTTTATGTTAGAAAAAATATTATCAATTTACTCTTCAAAAGTGAACTAAATATATAAAAGATGCTGTACAATAATTATTAGAAAATAGTCATGCTATGGTAAATTGAAAAATTAGAAAGAGTAAATCTGCGTCTGCCACAATTATAATCAAGTTAAGACATGTAATTTGTTGAATAATTAATTATAATTCTGGTGGTTATGATCAAACCTTAAAGCTATTTTTGATTAGAAAATATCACTAATCAGTCAGAGTTATTTGAAATATAAAACTGAGAGAAAAAAAAATCAACATTACTAGCAATCAGTTGTGAACACAAAACCTACATGTACTTAAAATGAGATTTTTGGAGAATTTGTTTTACGTATGTATTGAATCGAAGTTTTCAAAAATATAAATTCTGTCGAGTGGTTTTCATAAGCAATTTCTCATCGAATTAGGATGTAACTGAGTAAAAAGATTCACTTAAAACAGATTTGAAAAAAGAACACTTGTTGGGTGATGACCGACATTTTGCCATATATATTGATATCTGGGTGGCAGACACAGGTTTACCTTATATTGATTTTGTTAATTTATTCAAGCATTTTAAACTTTGAACAAAATTTTTGTTGTTTAAGTCATTTGATGGACAGTCAATACCCTTTTAAAGGATCATACACACAAAAATTGAAAACAATTAGCATGAATGGAACTGACTAGTGATAGTTTTTGAAGTGACAGAAACGCACACACACACAAACTTAAATGTATAAAAATGAATTCCTTATTTAATATGTTAGGTACAATTACGACGGGGGCATCAGAAGCTACATGTGCGACTGATCTATTGGCATCATATAGCTCTGTATCAATAACCGACTCTACCGGAAGTACGTCATGTTCCCCTAATGTTATGGATGGTTGCACCGACAGAACAGAGATGAGGTTCACGTACGCTTCTGGATGTGGAAACACACAAAAATTTTCAAGTAAGATCATTGTTTTCATTTCATTCCATGTTTATGTGGAATCTTTCCAGAAACAATAGTTTTTGTTTAGACTTCATACACATACAGATACCAAGCAAAACATATGAACAGTTTCATCTCTATACAACCTCTTTTGCGTTCTACGATCCGTATTTGAGATCGAGTACATGTAAGTGAACTAGACCTAAAACCATAATTGCAATCAAATGTGTGCATATTCAATATATATTTTTATTATATATCTAATGAATAGACTACTAAAGCTCTAGAGAATTTTAGCGTTCAATATTTAGGCGTTTTATTTAACGTTGTGTTTGTAATATGTATACGATAGGAATGTCAATTTTGTCAATAATTCATATTCGAATATTCAATGAAAGTATTCAAATATATTCGAATATCCGATAAGATTTAGTTAATTTTATATATGCATCATCTTACCCTCATGAAAGGTTTGGAAGAAAAATTGGGTGTAGAATTTTGTAGAGGTTCAGTAAGGAATTTTACATTTGCTATTTGTCGATGTTTGAAATAAATATATTGATTTGAGTGCACATGTAAACATCCGAAATATTATTCTAAAAAACTATATCTTGAAGCTCTAAACGATGAGCCGATCGTCTTACCAAGGTCAAGATTGTCATATACTGTTCAAATTTAAATGCGTGTAATTAATTACAATCATCTACCAAATAAGAATTATAATTATATTCCTTGATTCAATATTTTCAAAACATAAACAAACACTTACAAGGTCAATTTTCGTAGGTAATTAACTATTTCCGAAAATGATTTTTAAAATTTGGAATATGTACATGTATAACCCGAGATGATCATGTAATTAACACAATTTATTCTGAAATTGATCCCTTTACGGTATTAAAGACCAATTCTATAAAACAAGTAATTCAATAATCAACGCATTTATTTTGTCAAGTAAACTCTTCACATTTTTAGACTGACAAAGAATAGTTTCATTTTGTTGTCCTCGAAATTAATCATAGGAATCATTTTTTTTGTGTGAAATCTGGGAAAAAACCGAATATTCGAATCGTAAATTCTTATTCGAATATCAACTCATCGAATGAATATTCGAATAATCGAATTTTCGTTGACATCCCTAGTATACGAGTATTATCTAAAACATTCCGAGTGCTAACGTTCAATATCGAACGCTCCGTTGTAAACAAAAATTGTCTGGCCAACCGCTCAACGGCAATATCTTTGATGGGTAGAGTCAGCTAAGTAAGATGTGCCTATTTTCACACAAAATTGAAATTATTAATTAATAATTCAGTACCTATAAGCCTCAATAAAAACCTCAGTAAGCAAATCATAATAGTTGGTAAGGTGTGATATTGAACACTTTCAGGACAGACGCTGATATTACACAGTTTTAATTTAAATACCGATACTGAAAAATTCTCGTTGATTTTGAGTTATTTAATATAATAAATAATTAACATAAATCAATAGGAGAATGTTTTAGCTATATAATAAAGGATTTATTGAACTTCTATTGGTGAATATTGGCACTCGCAAGCTCGTGCATTTGTACAGCCAACTCGTGCCAATATTCACCAATACAAGTTCAATATTTTCTGAAGACAGTTAAAATATTATTTTGTTGTAGCTGGTGGGTTTTGGACCTGCATGCATAGTATGAGTAGTGGAGGGAACACTTATCTCTCGGTCTGGAACAATGACAGTTCAGTTGTTGGGACCACGTCCTACACATACGCTTCTGGAGTAAACTACCAGTTTGCCTGTTTAGTGAGTAATACAAGTCTTGCGAAATACACTCATCAGAAAATCGTATGTGATTGACTCATTTAAAGTAAGCATTTGAATCCTTCTTCATGTTCTTGTCCCTGAATTTTTCGTAATTATACTCTTTTGCAGGTGATCAGTGGGTCGTCAGCAACTATGTTTCCAAACTACTGCTCAGACAGTACACAAACAGCATCAACAGTTGCATCTCCAGGCCTCACAATGGCATTTACAGGAGCTACACAGACTTGCTGTAAGTTATTTCAGTACAATTAGAATGACGTCACTTTCACTGTCTATGCATTAATGTTCAGTGTATTTTTTTTTAAGTTAAAGGATTTTAAATGTTATACCTTAACAATGTAACATATTTATTTAGTACATGTAACTGTCATCGGAAAAGTGGATAGGTAACTCTCCTTTTTATGATATATAGAAGAATGTCTGTAAATTTTGAGAATTTCACTTTCAGATGACGAAGTAGAAGGTGGATCAAGTGCTGTATACTACATCACAATAGTATTGGGTGCCTTATTTATCATAGCCTTGATTATCTTAATCATTATTCTGAAGAAGAAAGGCTATTGTTCTCTACAAAAATGCAAAAAGCAGCGACCCAGTTCACCAGAAAGCAGTGTGGAGCAGGGAGAGCACGTGACTAATACTGTATTCAAAATGAACAAATTGGATCCAATCCCAGGTTTCCGGGCAAAGAGACCACTTCGAATTGGGCCAATAGTGGAGCCTAATCTAGATATCCTTCCAAAAGTGGAGCCATTGTATGCTCTGTCAGACAAGAAGGACACCAGTAAACCGGCAAAACGAGGTTCGCTTGGCAGTATTTTCACTTGCGATATTTCTGCATTTTTAATTGATCGACATATTCCTCCAACTGAAACTGTTGAACGTAAAACATAAACTCGTTATCTTTTATATACTTTACTTCTATTGAATATTTTCATATTGTTAAATATTAACCATATTTGAAATTTATAACATTAATTTGATACTAATTTTGTGGATATTGTGTTCTTACTGTGCCATGCCTTTCACTGTATTAACTTTTTCTAACATGTGTGTGTGTGTGGTGTTATAAAGGAACAATCATCAACTGTCATTCTATGTATAATATACAATACCAGACATCAACTGTATGCCTACATGTATGTATTCCATTATTGTAATCTTCTCATTCACAGTACTTAACACTGCAATAACTACATGTATTTTTATAAAATATTTAATTATTTAAATAGCTGATTCAGTGTAAGTTAAATATGCAATAGTGAGGATTTCTTGGGGAGAGAAAGAGAGAGGAAGAAAGAGATACTAATATTTTCTTTTTGTGTATTATTGTTGAGTTACACTCCTTTTTATTTCTCCGAGAGAATATTTACTAGATTTGGATAATTAATCGGCGTAATCTTTTTTATACATTGTCCTAATATATTCCATTCACTTTCCACGAGGAAAGTCAAACCGATCCCTTCCAAGCCATTGTACCTTTTCCGATTCATATATGCCACACTAGCTCAAATGATCCATTCCTATCTAATGTAATACATACAATTTAAATACGTCTCCAACTTTCGTATTGTAGGACTGAGGGAAATTTATCGTTCAGAGGACCGCTTTCTTTACCATTCATATGATCAGTTATATCGTTCATTTGAGAAACTATACAGCTCAGCAGAGTCCGTCTATCACTCCGGAGTCATTTGTGAAAGTCCTGATTACGCGAACTGCACTTCCGCGATAAGAGAGAGTCCCATAAATGAGGACTCAAAATAAATGAACTATTACAGATCCAAGCTGAAATTGACTATAATTGAAACTTTATTTGTCACAGTCAGTTTGTATATATATATATATAAAATGCGTTTTGGTTTTGTTTGTTTATTTAAGTATGTTTTATTCATTTTCTTAGTAGCAACTACTGTCTTAAAATATGTTTTCCTAGGATTGAGTGTGTTTGTTTTGACATTTTAGCTTAGGTAGATTTGTGACATGTGTTGGAGGAGTTGGTTTTATGCTTTGATCAAAAGAGAGGCTGAATCATCTAATAAGTTAAATAACTGTGATATCTATAGATTGTGATAAAAAAAATTGTGATATATATATTTTAAATTATATTGTGATTAATGCAATAAAGTTTGATCACAAAACTAACACATTTTTGCGTCGATGATTAACACCACATGCTTATATAGCTTATTTAGTTTCACATCACTTGACTAGAAATGTAGAAGTCAGTATCTTTTGACCACGCTGTCATAGCAATAGTTCACAGCACTTAGTAACTGGAGCACGACTCTGCACGGTGAGTTAAAAATCATATCTTCTTATAACTAATCTCAATAATCGGCAAAAATTCGCGCAGACGCAATGAAGTCGTTTACTTTTTTTCATTTGCAGATGATGATACAATCTCTGTGGACAGCGTAGATGAGGATAATCCATTTAATTTCTACAATATCGCCAAGTTCGTGCTTCTTCCTAAGATTGTCTCCAAGAAAAGCTTTGATGTTGGAGCTCTTGCAGATCCAAAACGAAACACATTGCACGATATCTTAGAGATAAAGAAATCAAAACTTAAAAGAGAAAGCAAGGCTTCCGAGGAACAGGAGACTAAAAACGACAAAAGCAGGGATGAAAAAGACAAAGAAAAGGATAAGGATAAGAAAAAGACAACCGGCAAACCAAAGCTTGAAAAACAAAGTTCAAAAGAGCCCAAACCTGGGGATAAAAATCGTAAAATGTCTAAAAAGTAAACAAATGTTTCGATGCACAGTATGAATTAGATGTATAAATGGCAAAATATGCAATCCAAGACTTTCTGAAATTGGTTTTGAGTGGAGGACTACTTGAAATATTTCATATGGTTTATTTGTTATTTTTTTTTTGGGAATGTTGTTATTTTATTATATCTTCAAGGAGACACTTTGGTGCAATTGTTTATATAAAATTCATTATGCTGAAGGACATATCGCATGATATTGACTTCAGTTTCCATTTTGGGAATCATCTATTTGAATCATTTGTACAAAACTTTGAATCCTGATTCACTGTGTTCATCTTTTCCTTTTGTATTTTTCATGTTTGTATTATATACATGTATTGTGTATGCATTCAGATTAACGATTTTACACTAGTAAAAGTTTTACAATATAATTTGCATTAATAGATACCTTATTCCAAGGGAAAAACTTGGGCGTGTTCAATACAAAGGTTTGTATACAATATATCACGACGTATTCCCTTTTTAAGATTTTGATAACGTTAGCTATTAAAAGACATGAACAACCTTATGGCAAATATTTGTTACTTGGACATTGCTTTGAAAGCTCACACTGTATTGATTTCGTTTACAATCTTTGCAGGAGGTATATCAAGGGTTTTGTCTTTGCAATTACGTAAGAGATGTATTGCATAATTTTCGAATTTGAACTATTCCCTTTTAAGAAAGGAAGTTGTATGAAGGAAATCTGCGGGTAATTTCTAGACAGCTAGCATAGAATCTATAATATTTCCTTTCACTTTGTCTTCCGAGCTTACCTTTGACATTATTTATCTCCCTCATAGAATAACATATTCGCACTTTGCCAAAATTTGAAATTATTAAATATAAGTATTTTTGTCAAAAATTTTTGGAATACTCCAAATTATGCAACTCACGGGTTTTCTTTTCCGTTTTATTGCTATGAACGATTATCAAAGTCAATGGCCTTGGACGAACTTCATGAAGCCTGAAGATTGAAAGAGTCTAAATTTGTAAGGCTTAAAACGACTTATTCAGACACATTGTCACAGGCGGGAACTATCAATTTCGTCTGGTCGGGGATACAAATTATAGGTAATTTGGAAAGAAATTAGGTTCTTTAAGTATTAGGAAGACGTCTTCAGGTAAAGTGTCTTAGGTTTTGGAGACTTTCGATAGAATTCCATCGGAGCGTGTACCTTTCGGCTTATTCATGGAAGTATGGGTTGTTTCTATTCTCTGTCAAGATGTTTCTCACTACGAATTTGTTAAAATTTCTGATAGACTTGTTCTGGTTGTTGATAGAGCTGGTTGTTTGTTATGTTGTTGAACTTTATGAAACTATTTTAACATTTATAGGAAATGGATCAATATAATAAAGTTGGCGACTTCAATTGTTTGTTTTATTTACACCTTTATAAAGGTACAGCATTGAACTGGACAGCAAAAGTGTCAGATATGTAGTAAATCTAATTATTTGTAGAAAGAAAATGCTTCTTTTCTTCTCTTTCAACAATTATTCTGCTAGAAAAAGATGCATATTATGCCCTACGTTAAAGGAAATATATCAGTGAAATTAGATAGGTATCCTTTGCATTGAATGTTGTTAAAATCATATTATTTGGGAGCAGTTAAAGATTCTGCTCTGAAATGATTACAAGGAATGAGTAAAATCAATATTCATTTTAATAGAAAGCTCTTATTATATTTTTAAAAAATATTTTCAGTTTAAATGTATTTATAGAAACCTGATTCAAATTTACAAATATAAATAACAGAAAAATGCTTACAAAGCTCAATACATATAAAAAAGTAATCTACAGTATGAAAGTCAAACGCAGAGGTTAGTCTTAAATAATAAGACACGACTTTAATATTTACAGAGAAATTGCAGAAGTCGTGGATATCAATTTCATTGGTATCTTCATATGTGCCTTGTGAATGGATGAAAAAATGCAAAATTTAAGTAGAATAAACAGACTAGTACTGTAGATGTTAATTAGAGTTGTTTTATCAACTCAGCAATTCAGAACAGCCACGAAGTCATTACAAATGTTATTATATTGATATCTTCAGTGACAACAGAATGCAAGGTTTTCTACATCTATATCCACCAATCAAAGGTAGAGCACTCGTTAGAATGTTCACATTCATATGTTAGAACAATTAATTTAAAAATGCACATTTTTAATTAAGATGAGAAGCATACACTGTAATTTACTCTGTATTTTTTTGCAGAAATGAAATCAAATCAAATAGATAAAATAAATCTAAGTAGCTCAGTTAAAACATGATGATTTGAAAGAGACAAGAATTTTAATTTCCATGTCATTGTGTTTTGAATTTGCTATATTTGATAGTTCTACAATAGTTCTATATAGTTCTATAATATATCTTTCAATGAATATGATATACAGAATAACAGTATTTTCTAAATATAAGGCTATTTTTTAAAAAACAAATTGCCCCTTTACGTAGATTACAAGCTGGTTACATGTACAGAGTCTATGTTTGACTAAATGTTAACATGAGGAAAAACTCATATCCAAATCTCCCTTTCTCAATCAATTCATCATTGTTTACAATTTCAAGTACAATACACAAGATGTTATAATACTGGCAATCTAAAGACTGCACAAATGGTATATTTCTCTTATATGGAAAAACATTGCTATTAATTCTGATATTTATTTTAATTTATAATCTAAGGAGGAATCAATATATTTCAAAAGTTTATTAATATTCGTTGGCGAAATTACCACTAAATGAGTTTCAGACAAAGAAACTTTTTATTGTGCACTGTATCTACTATATATTTTTCAATCTTTAAGAAACAGTATTCTTGGTATTCTGATATTGCATTTGATTAACTCAATACATGCCTGAATACAAAAAGTAGTTTACTTAATTCTGGTTATCTTAATCCGCTCAATGATTGCTAGAGACTGTGTTTACCTATAGAAGATTAAATTCCTACAACGTAACAATTAAGCGCTCTTGTACCTTCAGCATGCCAAAATAATAGTAAGTTTCCTTAGATCTCAGAGCGAATTCTTTTGAGATTGACTGACAACGCATTTCATAAAATTAACGTTTTCATATTGCAATGTAATGGCTATTAATGTACTCGAATTAATTCCAGGGATTACAAAAGTTACTGTAGTGCATTAACTGCACTGATCAGTATTCCTTCTTAAACTGGGAAATGTGGTTGGATGTAGCTCGGGAAAGGTTGGAATCAGAGAAACCATGGGTAACTCACAAACGAGACATCTGAATTCCGGGATCGTTCATTCTACCCGATCAACAGCATACTCAAGTTCTATAGGTAAGGATGAAAGTTAAAAAAAAAAAAATTAAGATCGATTTACCTGACAATTTAATGACTTTTTTCTGTTACCTATTTAAAAAGAAGAAAATAACTGAATACTATTTCTATCTGTGAAAAAACTTATTGAAACTTTAGGCAGGAGAACAGGCTCCGGGGCCATAAAACTTAGACGAGCTCACTTTTGTTCTCAGTCTCACTTTTACCAAAGGAATTAACAGAAGAAATGTGAGATCTAGACTGAGATCAAAAATGAGCTCATCTAAGTTTTATGGCCTCGGAGCCAGTTCTTTCTGCACAGAATGGCCTGTTTAAGGTGTTTCTGTAAACCAAAATATCATTTCTGTTGTTCAATGTACCATAGGACATTGCCTTCAAAATTGACCTTAATACGTTCTATTTCCATTAGTGAACTCTTCAAAATTAGAGGCGCGTTTGGTCGTCTGACTGGGACAGCATGGTGTTGCGGATAATACAAAACGTGCCAATCTCAATCCAATTTTAAATGTTAAATGTATTTGTCATTCCATTTAAAGAATAGAAGAACTAAAAGACATATGTAAGAGAGCGAGAATCCTAAATTTATAATCCATTAATAAAAATACGACATTTCCGAGGCATGTGTACTGTATTTAGATGTACCATACGATAAATAGATACATACGATCAACAATAGATATAAATTGATATCGATGTTATTCCTACTCTTGATGTATATAAAGTCCACAACAATAAAATATTTCATTTGCATTTTCTTAGGAATTGTTCATCGACATTCAATATATTGTTTACATGTTTATGTTACGTTTGTCCCAGAAATCCCGCGAGATTTGTACGTTTTCCGACTTTTTCACAAAAGAGCGCACTAAGAAGTATAACTCTTCAATAGTGGAAATAGAACGTATTGATGTTATACTGCATGTTGTTTTACTTCTTATATTCAAATTAAATACTTTACTTATTGAGAGCGAAATTTTATCAAAATCATTTTTTTAATCTAGCCAAGGGAAAAGTATTCATTTGATATATCTGATGATTGTTTGTTTCAACCTTGTCAGAGTATTGAAAAGTTTTGAAAGAAGTATATGACAGCATGTGAACTTTTCAATGGGAAAAAATGGTCATATTTCTCACTAATGTCGACGTAGAAAACAAATAATGTATACGGGGTATTGAAAGATGCAAGAAAAAAATCAATACATTGTTCAGGGAAGTGGACATAAGATCGAAACATCGGAATATTGAATTGACAGTAGTTTTTAAACTCAGCAATTCAATACAATTGTCAAAATGACATGTTGTGTTTACAATATATTCGGAAGCGTATTCAGAACTGAACTTTCTGTGAAAAATCTGTCAGTTCTGTCTTTCTTCTAAAGAATGGATACACTTCTGTTAATTTGTTAAATAACATAAATATAAACAATATTGGCTAAATTTTTAAATATGAGACACACAAAAGATTCCTTCAAAATCGTGTTTAAAAAAAACTTTTTACTACTTGTTCCCAAAACGCACAAAAGATAAACTGTTCGTTGTTTATTTCGTTCAAGATACATAACTCCATTGCAGATTACGACACGGTTTCTTTAGATAGTGACAGTGATACAGATTTGCCCTTCCGGTTCAGTTTTACACGATTGTCAAATCTTCCACCTTTACCCGGTATCCATCCTCTAGACTATAAAGCATACATGAATACACCAAGTACATCCACTGCCAGCACAAAGCAATCTCAACGCACCCTCAAATATGGACGACAGACAACTTTTCATTTGCCATTAATTTCAAACCACGTCTCTGGTTATCAGCATCTTCATCCTGGCGGTGTTGTTACAGTGAAGGAAAAACCAAAGGAAAAGAAAAATTCTAAGACTGGAAGGAAAAAGAAGAAAAGTACCAAGAAAAAAAGAAAAGCTTTTCAAAAACGTTAGAAGTCTACGTTGAAATTTTTACCTGGAAAGATAAATGTGTAATAAATTCATTGTTTTGATTTTGAATTTATCTCAGTAGCAATGTTTTGATAATATCGTACCTACATGTATGCAATAGATACTTACATGTAAAGTTCAAGAAGCTTAAAATAAAAGGAACAATCTTTTATTGTATAGACATTTATTGCATGAAATGTAAAATATGAAAGACATTTACATTTTAACAAGAAAGTTATTGTTTCTGCATGTGTTAACGTTATCTAAATTGAATTTATTATTGTGGAAATTAACCGTCAAATGACTCGCCTAAAATATTCGTCCAAAATGTATTGCTTTATAGCTAGTAAGTTTGCAGAATAATCATACTTTCCAAATCCAAATCTTATAATTCTGATTTATATTCAAACTGGTTCTAAAATGCTATTGGAATACTATATTTGTGTATTTAATGTGTCCGTAGAATTAGCTGCAATGTTTGAGAAAGAAGCTTTCTCGCTTTGTTGAGGAGGCTTCTTTGTGAAGAAATCACACATTTGTTTTCGAAAGAATTTGATAATGATAACAATAAAACCGATGATTATGATGATACAGACAACAATGGCAAAATAGATGGCCCAATTTGTGGACTTCTTTTTCGTTTTCGGAGTATTTGCATGTCCCGTTCCTCTATTAGGTGGAGGGGCTGCAAAACAAAATATTTATATGAACGTAAATACGTATCTATTGTGAATAACTTATACTTATAACAGAACTTTTCACAAATCTTAAGAATTTCGACCGAATTCAGTCTTGTGTCGCATTTTGACAAATAACAATTTCGATATTTCCGGCTCTCTGTTATCTCTTTGTCATGGAGATTAAAAGATTTTTTTTCATCTAATAAAAGTAAGAACGGAGAAAATAAACACATTTTGGCATAAAAATAATCAATCTACATGTATTTTGTAAAGAAAAGTTCGCTTTACCTGGCGTCGTTGATTGACAGATTTCTGAAAAAAAGTAGGATAATAAGGCGTGTTTATAATTGATTGATCAACTATCAAAACCAATCATACTTTCATATTGATTATTATTGATACGAATGAAATCTAATAAACAAAATTGATTCTTTACCATGAGTTTCTTTTGACTTCAGCTTGAGAAATTCTGTATTCTTTGAGGCATCTGTGCAGGTATCATTAAATAACCGAAAAGTTGCAGACGATTCGTTATGGGTGATTTCCTAACATAAAAATAACCTTATAAAAAGAAAGATACTCCAACCAAATTTCAGATAAATTTACTGTATCAATTTTGGAGACATGCAGAACAAGACCTCTAATTGGGATATGTTTATAAGTAAAAAACAAACAAAACAAAAAAAAAAACAAACAAAAACCTGCGAACATGACATGTTTACTTATCTTCAAGTTGTTTATTACTAGCAATACTGCCTTGTATATGTTAAAGTTTTAACTCAAATGAAAGGAGTGGTTTTTCATACTCACAATACAAATAAATCCATGACCTCTTCTTGATATAGATAAAGTGTCAGCTGTCCACGTATACAAATAAGTGACGTCATTTACCGTTTCATGAAATAGACAGTACACCGAAAGGTTACCTAAAAATATTAGAACAAAATAATAGTTAGCAGTAGTATCAAGTATAAATACCTGGATTGGTACTTTATAATTAAAATAGAAAAGATGTGTATCATGAAAATAAATGTTGAGTGTAAGAATGATGGCATATGTCCTCTGTACCTGGAATTTGTGTACTGGAATGGCAAGATGGACTTGTGATAACAAGCTGAGTGTTCTTCAAACATCCGTTAATACTACCATTTACACACACATTTTCCATACCATTTTCCTCTGTGTTAAGGTTCGTAAAGGATTTCCGTAAAAAGTTGGGACACTCGATACTAACTATATCATCAGTCGACACTATGAAAGAAGTTTGTTGTCAAAAATCTGAAGCATTGTTTGTCTTTTTTTTTTATTTATAAACTATGAAGACAAATTTTCTTTTCTTACATTAAGTCCAAACGCTGTCATGCATTTTTGATAAACACTTTATATTAAGTTTGTAAAGAATTGAGTTCTGGAAATCATTTTCTTATTTTACATTTTGTTAAATCAAGTCTTCAATTCTACCATTGTGTGGAGACATTTTTAAAAAAAAAAAGTAACCTAATCACAATAATTAACATTTCTTACCATTTTTGATTAGGCTATGCATGTTGTCTGTTGTCTGGGGAAGACTACAAACATCATTCATGGATACGTTTAAAAGATTTGAATTAGCATATACACTCTCGTTGACCGTGGACTCTAAGGGTGTCGAAACGTAATAAATATAATTGTCAAATCTAACTTGTTCAAAACTAAGGCAAATGTACACGCTCATTTCCATGGAAAACACGTTGATATCTCTATTGGATCTGTAGTAAAATGAGAAATAAATTATTTTACATATACATGTAGCATGCACTTTTAACAAAATAGTTACTGTAATCTTTATGCTATAATTGTTGTTGTTGTTTGTTTGTTTGTTGTTTAACGTCCCTCTCGAGAATATTTCACCCATATGGAGACGCCACCATTTGCCGGTGGAGGGCTGCAAATTTATACCTATACTTGGCACTCAAGGCCATTGAGCAGAGTGAAGGTTCTTTTTCGTGCCAACACCTACTGCGACACGGGACCTCGGTTTATACGGTCTTATTCGAAGGACCTGTCTCCACGTCCCGCAATGGATTCGAACCCGCGACGTAAGAATCAGGGGCCTGTTTCACAAAGGTTTCCCAAGATATGTCGTAAGACATAACTTAAGATATGCCTAAGTTATAGGAAGTTCCTAAGATTTGTCACATCTGTTTCACGAAACAATCTTATCTTAACTTTATCCTAAGACATTTCTTAAGTTGTGTTACGGACTAATGAAATAACTTCTCCACTCTATCTACAATTCTTACTGTTAGGAGGATGTCAGTATGAGTAAAAATCTTTAGTTTGAGTCGGGTTTTTTTTTCAAGTAAAAAAACAGCTTGAAAAGGGGAGGGTCTGGTGGTTAGGGGTTACCCTCCACTTTCAAAGGACTTAGACAGAAGTATGGTATAACCTTAACAAGTTTCCTACTTAAACTAAGCACTCACACATCCTCACACACATATATCCCCCCCCCCCCCCCGCCACATGACGCATATTTTTTTTAAAACTAATATTTGTGCTATTATATGTTTGCCTTTTATTTTGCTTTGTATAAGTTATCAGAGGTTTGTAATTGTTTATTTTTTCCGCCTGCTATATATTTTTCTACTAGTATCGTTTCAATTAGGAAATGGAATAATTTTAAAACAATAATTGCTTCGAGGGGCAATCTAACAGAGGCCTTATTTTGTTTTTATTTCTTCGCGAATGAGTGCTCCACGTTAGTTGTCCGTGTTACTGTGTAATTTTAAATAAGAATTTTTCGACAGATAAGAAATTCCAAATTGGCGACTGTGGAAATGACAACACTAACAGAAAAAATGTTGAAAAAAAGGAAATATATATATTAAAATCTTTATGCATAATTATACCGTGACAAATCAGCCCCAAAATGGAGAGGGGGACCAAATATTCTGTAACACAACATACATTTGTTTAGGGGAAGAGTTGAAAAGAAGTGGAGTCATTAAGCGGAAACAGAGAAAAAATGGTCAAAGCCTTGCACTTCAACGTCTCCTTCCTCCAATGGGAGATAAGATACAAGCAATTTTTGGAGAAACAGCTATATCAGGAGCTGAAGAGAACAAATTTGTTCCCTTATCAAATATAATCTTTCAAATACTAAATATCGATTCAAATAATAGTAATATTATTAGATTTAAAAATATATAATAATGGTTCAAATTGTATGCAAAGTTTTTTAACACAGACAATAGTGTATATAGCGTGGATTTTTTTTTGTTTGTTTACAAAATCGTGCTCTTTAAATGATGGGTAATTAATCCAACATATGATCCGTCTATTTTGTAGTAACATTGGGAAATCCACGAATTCGTGAGAAATCAAACATTCTTTAAGTACAATGTATTTGTAGTTCCAACTTCACCAATGGACATTTTTTTTATTTACCTTGGATTAATTTTGAACAGTGATAAAGACACATCTCTGACAATTCTTAAAATCCCTTTCTTAGCTATTACATACAAAGTAAAGAAGTTATAACCTGAAGGGATCACAATCATTCATATACTTGTAGTCCTTCGGATTTTTTCTCTCCCTGAACACACACAGTATCTCTCTGTAAGAATCCTTGTACATGTATCTACAGCCGTCATACTTAGTTTCTTCCTAAGTCATTGATTTGCTTGTCCTGAAGTTACGACATAACTTAGGAATATCCTAAGATAAGACAAGGTTAGTGAAACGGATAAGTAATGAACTTAGGAAAAAGTTCTTTCCTAAAATACAACTTAGTCCTAAGTTAGTTTTGTGAAACGGGCCCCAGCTCCTTACTCCGCGACTCTAGAGCAGCTAGACGCTCTAACCACTGCGCCACGCGGGCGACCCATTGTTGTAAAACATATTAAAATCATATGATAATTACATTTCATCTTATTGATACCTTGTATATGATTGATATTACATTTAAAACAATAGCAATAATTTAAGAATTAAATTCTTTTATGGATTTTTGGATTTCGTCGGTCGTATATAACAGCACCAAGCCGCGTGTTAGCGCGGTTAACGTGCGGCATGATAATTTTTCGCCACGGACATGTGCTGATATACGACTGATGACATTTAATGCTTATAATATTTACATAATTTTCATAATGTTAATTTCATTCATCTTTATTATAAATGTAGTGCCTTTGAGAGCTTAACTGGTATGGTTAATAGATGCAAGAGCCATTCTGACGTAGATAGTTAAATATTTCCATTTCTAATTGTTTTATATGTGATAACTCTTTGAAAGTTAGGTGGAATGATTTCTTGATAATTCAACCGGAATGTTAATTTCGTCAGGTGAAAGAACAGGAACCTTATATGCATGTCAATCTCGTGCGGCTGTTTGTGTCTGACGTTAGTGGGCGGGGACTATTGAAATGAATATGTGAGGCCTCATGTATTTAAAATCTATTAGACAGCATTTTTTAAATTTATATTTAAAATTTTATTTCACGTATAAATGTAAATATAGGGAATCACTGTCTAGTTTGTTGGGTATGCCAGGGACATCAACGATAGTTGGAAACGTGGGATAATAATGCATAACGGGCTTTGGGCGTTATGCAAATTATCCCATGTTTCCAACTATCGTTGTTGCCCTTGCATACCCAACATACTAGACAGTGATTCCTTAAATAACGCAAATGAATATCGCGAGGGAAAATGACAACAAATTAATATTAAACGTAGAATTGTTAATGTTTTTTTAACAATGTAATAAGGTAATTGTTTTTAATTAAATTGAGCCAAAAATGTACATTTTAGTATTTCTGGTGTATATAGTTCCTATTGTGTGTTCTACCACGACATGACAAGGTTTCGTGTGTGCTAAAGGTTGATGAATGCTGTAGATTTCAAATGGATTTCATAAAAAAAAAATACACCGAATGTACATAATACCATAGGTGACAATAGAAGAGAAAAAAGAAAAAAAGAGAACAGATAAAAGAAGAAACGCTAATTACTTGAGAAGGTAGTGTGTCCCATTATTTTCTGTACAGGTGAAGTCGACTGACGTCACTCCAGGTAAAATGACGTGATAATCATAAATAACAGACTCGCTAAATCTCAGGAATCCTTTGTCAGAACTGATCCACGCTCCTCTTAGATCCGCTGGAAACTCACATGACGATGCAGAAATTGCTGTAAAAATAATTCATTGGAACATTTTACGGCACTGTGAGTGATTGATTTTGCTGACTCTTTAAACAACATTGATTCTGATTTGTCAATATTCATTATCCTTTACAGTGTTTCACAAACTGGCTTCATCGTCACATAGGAAATGTTAAAAATATACTATTAACCATAAACATGGACACAAATATAAATTAACAAAGCGATTGCTTTAAATAAAATAGCGATTTTAAATTGAACGTACTTTTCAAAATCGATGAATCTGATGATGTTTTTTGTCACAAAATAATTCTAACTGAAACTTTAAATAATTCTGTAAAAAGTTGTGTGCCTGAGAGGGAGAGAGAGAGAGAGAGAGGGAGAGAGAGAGAGAGAGAGAGAGTTACCTGTGACATCTACGAAAACATGTAGAAAAATCAACCACTTCATTCTATTTTGCATTTTCTTTCAATGATCCCAGGACACAGAATATTGATTTCCCTGGTTTATTACATTATGCATGAATTGGCGACCTTTAAAATGAAAAAAAAATACTCATAAAGGATAGCAGGAGCCAGAGTAACATTGAAATGTTATGGCAACACAAAGCACAATGAACATTTATAAGCGGTGAATATAACTGCTAAAATACCCAGAAAAACAATAACGCATTTTAATAAACAACCCAGGTAAAAAGGTAAATTTAACAATATATTGTGACATATAGTAAAAATAAGAGAATGTTTACCTTTGTAAATTCTTATATGTATCACAAATCCATGATTTTTTCCTTCAAAGTTGTACACACTGCAATGACTAAGATATTCCCGATATATTTAATATTTATATTAAAGCTTGAACGTCTAGTCCTTTCAATAAAAATAGGTTCCTTTCATTCATTTTAATGGATCGAGGGTCCGTTATTCAGTTGGTCGAAAGCATGTTTATCTAACTGCATTATAATCGATCAGTTTTAAAGGTAAGCTAAATGCCATGTATTGTACTTGAAAACGTACACACATTCAAACAGTGAAATATTCTAAATTAAATTTCCAAAAGTGTTAGATAAAGAAGAGATGAATAGAAAGCGATAAGGAAAAAGCAGACATTTTAACAACAATACAAGGCCATTGTAGTGGTTGGTTTTCATAAAATTGCATAAACAAATTTGAATAACGAGAGATAACTTTAAAAAAAAATTAACAATTTACCATAAGATGCATTTTTGCGAAGGATATAAGCCTCAAACTGTCAAAATTATTTGAGAGAAAGAACTGATCGAGGTCAGAAGGGCTTAAATCATTCCTTTCTCTCACAGAATGCACAATTTGAGGTTTATATCCTTCTTAAAACATGGTTCTTTTTCTGTTTCCGGTAAACTATTTTTACAGTAATGATGAAATACTTTGAACAATAATTGTCTTCAAAATGTACCTCTAGCTAAGCCTTTTCTTTCACTATAAAATCAAGTGTCTTTCGTTTATCGTTTAGGTAGATACTAAAGGCTTTATTGCTTAAATTGTGCTACGTTCATGAAGCCATATATACACATCTTCCTCTGCTGGTGATAGATTAGAATACATTTTTGCTCAATCAAAATTTAAGGATGATCATTAAAAAAAGTCAAAATATTGAGACTGTTCTAAGTAGTACTCTGGATAGAGAGATTGAGAATGTTCTGAAGCCAAATTTCAATTTAAAATGTACCTTCTCCTCAACCACAAACAAAACATTTCAATTAAAAAACAAAATCCATTTGAATTCAAACATTTTATTGAGTTTACTTATGTCATCTCTACATTGTTCTGAAAAGGTCATTAAGTTAAATATCATACACTTATTTCATGACTACGAGGGGAACAGTCAAACTGCTGTCCAGAGGTAATGCCCATTATCGAGGGACAACAGTCTGACTGTTTCCCGAGTTGTCATGAAATGAGTGTTTTATTACCTAACCTACTGTACAATTTCTCAAAGTAATGATATCAACATAATAATCAATGGCTTTTAAAATACATCGACAAAAGTTTGTATTATTTTTAAAACCAAACTAACAAGACGAATATTAATCAAATTCTCACACTGATTGGTGTTCAGAAAAATTAATGGGTGTGATATTATCATGCACTAATTAATTGAAAAAAAGTAGTTAACAACATAATGATGTCTTGAAGATTTGAATATTACACGTTTATAAATAGCAAAGATCTATACTGAGTGAAAGGGGCCTACATTTTGCCAAAATTACCCTCAGAAAATGTGTTCATGGCCTCTTCTTTGAAATGATATTAAACTGAATATATAATTATATTGGTATCAGGATTACGTTTCAGTTGATAATTTCAAGTTGAATGAATATGCTTCAATTAATACATAATTCAATATTATAGCTGTAAAGTACGGGGAATTAATTGTGACGTCATAATGGAACAGTTCAGCCATGCAACAGTTCATTCTGTGACCGGGTAAACAGTTTTGACTGTTTCATGATTTGCAAAAACATTAAAAAGAATCAGAAAACAGTTCAAAATGCCTAATTACAATTTATATAGTAGGTTAGGTAATAAAAGAGTATATTTCATTGTTTTAATGCGCTAACAGGATGCCGACCCAAAAGACACGTCATCGTCATCATCTTCTTCATCAGGTGTATATCTACTAACAACAGAAATGGTTGATAGTGGACTTGTTGCTCTAAAGATGGCAGAATCAAAGCTGTATAAACTAAGTCCATCTGGTCTCCGAATCCTTCCTCGCATGTAATCCACGATCGAGTCCGTGTAAATGCATGTTATCTTTGGTGGCGGGTGGATTGGCAGATTCTCGATACTAAACTCAGATTTAAACAGAGGTACGATTTGGATCGGTCGTTTAGGTTTAAAATAATTGACAGGTTTCGATGTGTTGACGATTGACCTTTTAGGGTTGAAATGTTGAGGTCTTACTTTCTCTCCTTTTCTTACATCAAATGCCCTTTCCTCTTTTCTCTTCTTCATATAAAGTTTAAGGCGTTTGAACAGCAGAACAGAAATAATAATTACGACAATCATAAACAGTCCCAAAAGTATGAAGAGGTAGTTTAGGTCGGCTACGAAAGGAGCCTCAGTTGTTGCTGACAAAGCAAAAGAAAAAAAATATTTTAAAAAATGTCACACAGAACAGTATTCATAAGAAATACATCTATTTTTTTTAAAATCTGAAATACTGACTTACTTACTTGGGAGTATAGTTTGACAGGAATCTGAAAATAGAGATGGTTGAGCTATTTACTAAATACAAAGTGTTTCTAGACATTTAAAATGATATAGTTTGACTAATATTGAAAATAAAAACCTGTGATGTCTTTGATCTCCACAGAAGCAGTTGCAGATGGATACTCTGTAAAGTTTACAGAATTTCCACAAAAGTTTGGATTCTCTTCCAGAAACACTGTACCATTCAAATAATTCGTCATTTTCTGCAGATAGATTATTTCAATATTTAATATATGTGCTAAACTTTCAGATACAAGCTACTTTGATTATAACTGTTTATGATACAAGTATTATATAGTCATTATTTATTACGAAAAATTGACCTACAAAGCAGGAAAATCTGTAAGTTGTAGAAGAAATGGTCTCGTCATTATTCCACGCAGAAAAATACAGCTGACCATCAATAGTTTTCGAATAGATACACGTGTAAACACCGCCATCTACAATGAAACCAGTAGGGTAACTTATTGCTTTATAACTTTAATTTAGAATAGATATTTTATCAAAATTAATATAAAAAATGTCCTTTACCCGAAAGGGTTGTTTGAGTGCATCCATCCTGTGAGAAATTAAGCATAGTTTTATTCGTGCAGCCATCCAGTTGTGCTGTAGCACAGTTGTCTGATGTAGCCGAGTTACTTGTAAATGTGATGTTACTATACACCATCTGTAAGGTTTCAGGGCATAAAGTCTGAATTGCATTACTTTCCACCGCATCTGTGAAAAATGACAAAATTCAAGCCTTCAACCTTTAACTATACCAAGCGATCGTCAAATTAGAAACTGTGTTCCAGCATTAAGAGTGGACATGATCGAGTTTTTTAATTAATAATTTTGATATTTTATGTAGAATAAAAACATATCTTAATTTAATTCGTCAAGTGTAAAATTGACAACATTACATGTAGCTATACCAATGCAACAATTGTTGGTATTGAATAGGCGATTACTAGTAATGCTGACTATGGCCTACTTAACCGCAAAATTGTATGTCCATAGATATATACACGGCATTATTTTTTTTTCTTTTTGATTTATTCATCATTTGTCTTTTTACCCTTTCGTAGTAGCGTTATGAAGTTGACAGGATCAATGTAGCTCCGTGTACAAATACTCTCCTGGGAATTAGATCTATCCTCAGCAATACCCACCATGTTTTCACGAATCAAATTATCAACAGCTAAACAGAAATTATTATGGATTTGAACATAAAAAGTAGCAAGACTTAATTTCTTAGAGCTTTTCTCTTAGCATACTTAAAAAAAATACTTTACAGTTTTTTCTTAACTTTAATGAATTAAAGTTGTAAAAACAATTATTTCAATAAAAGAAAAACAAGTTAAATACATGTAAGAAATAAAATAATTGCTGTTCTCTTTCAACAAGTATTTTTTGATATTAATGGAGTAAATGGAAGACAAAATTATATAAGTCTTTTCTGGAAGAAAAAAGGAAAATTCTTGAGGTGTCATGGAATGGTTTCTTGTAATCCAAAAGTAACTTTGTATGTTTCAAATATGATTGTACAGTACCTGTTGCATGGTAGTAAAAGTTTAACTGGTCGTTTACATTATAGATATCAAGGCAGATATAAAAGAAGACGTTGGTTCCAAACAGTACATTGAAGTTGACAGATCTGCAAAAAATTGAAAGTTTCAAGTACTGTCACAGAAGAATTCATTTTTATTTTTCCAACATACTATTGTTAATGAGAGATATAAATATGTTAATGATAGTAGGCGTATTTGATAGCAAAAGTATTCAGTTTGAATTTTCCTTAAAAGAATTAACACGTAATTAAAATTAATTATCAATTATAATTCCTATATATTTTTTTTTGAATTTTTTTTAATCAAAAATAATTATTGTCCATTGGTATGTGAACATACTTGATTGTATAGCGATTCGTACTGACTTGAGTTAGACAAGTGAAATTGTAATAGTCAATCGTAGGATTATTGGGGTCCGCAGATGGAATGAACACTTTGTAGTTATATATAGTATTTGTTGTAATGGTTAGACTGCCCCTTTCTGCACTTGTCCATTCTCCAACCAAGTAACTAGGGAATGTGCATGATCCCTCTAAACGAAAGATTGAAAAGCTTACAAATATGAATTTAGTAAATGTGACTTATTTTTCATAAAAATTGGAAAAGTGAGAATCTAAACCATTTGTACTATATTTTTCTTAATGTAACTGAATTCAATAACTTCAAAAATATTAAATTATATTTCATTTGTTGCAAACAGTAAAGATGTTTTATTTTAAAACATGAGCAAGTTTGTCAACAAAAATATACTTAAAAATGAATACCTGCAAAAAGAATCAACTGTCCAAAAACAAATAAAATTGCACAGAAACACATTTTCATATTAAAATCCAACATCTTCAAGTTGAATCAATTAATTTGAATTTAATCCTAAGAAGCACAACAAGATTTAAATTCTTCTTTCAATAATTTACAGTATACAAACTTTCCCTTGTCTTTTGTTAAAATATACATAAGGCCAAATTATTCGTTACCTTACTGGGTGTTGAGTATTTTCTTTGTTTTCATTTTACTTTATGGTTCATTGGTACAGGCATCAATCTTGACATTGTGCGCAACTTAAATGAAAGATAGCCTTATACGGTGTGTTCATTGATAACCACCCAACAGCTTCACA